CCCCTCCCCCTTTTCTGATGAAGGGTCTAGGCCCGAAACGTCAGCCTTTCTGCTCCTATGATGCTGCTTGGCCTGCTGTGTTCGTCCAGCTCTGCACCTTGTTGTTTCTTATTTCAGGTTGGGACCCTTCTTCAGACGTGAGCAAGGTTAGTCAAAGAGGTAGGTTTTAAGAACGTGTAAGAGGTGGAGAGGCTGGTTCATGAAGACATTTCCAGGGCATCAATCTCAGGAAGCTGAAGACATGACCATGAATGGTGGGAAGATTTTTAAAAACTTTTTAAGTGCATCACTGCCAGCTTCTGCAATGCATCTTGTGAATGTTATACACTAATGCCTGGTTACAGCAGAACTTCAGAGCTTAGCTCTGATCTCTTGGTTGCAGGATCGCTTAATGCTGCCTATTCCAGGCTGTTTCTGCAGATTGTCATGCACATAGTCTTGTGTTGTAGCTTCACCAGGTTGATAATTCATTTTTAGGTAAGCTTGGTCCAAGCATATCCTCCTACACTCTTTAATGTGCTAAATTTGGTCTCTTGAGCTGATGGTAATAGTACGATGGAGGATATATCAAGCCTTGAAGTTATAGATTTTGGTTGAATACAAATCTACTGCTGTTGATAGTCAATATCACCACATGGATGCACAGGTTTGAAATGTTGGGTCTGTTTGAAGTCAGTCCAATTTAACACAATGGTAGTTCTACACAACATGAAAGAGAGTATTCTGAATGTGAAGACAGCATCTCAACAAGGACTATGCAATTCTGGGGAAGGGTCACTTGACCCAAAACATTAACTCTGATTTCTCTCCACAGATGCTGCCAGACCTGCTGAGCTTTTCTGGCAATTTCTGTTTTTGTTTGGATTATGCAATGGTCACTTGTACTAATGTTATCACACACAGAAGTATCTGTGACAGGTAGATTGGTGAAGATGAGGTCAAGTAGACTTTTTCCTTTTGTTGGTTCCCTCACTACTTGGCCCAGACTCCAGCTCAGTCAGTAGTGGTGCTACCAAGCCCCTCTTGGTGATGCACATTGAAGTTCCCTACACAGAATATATTCTGTTCCCTTTGTCATTTCTCAGTGCTTCCTCCAAGTGGTGTTTAAAGCAGAGTACTGATTCATCAGTTAAAAGTTTGGTGGGTGGGCGAGGTTTGTTGAGAGCTGATAATCATCAGAATGTTTCCTTGCCCCTGTTTGACATGATGTCACCACCCTTCTTGAGGTCCAGAATCAATGTTGAGAACTCATATCAACTGCATTCCAACATTATGCTACTGGTCTGATGGGTCTGTCCTTCCAATGGAACAGGCCATAGCCAGGAACGATTGTGTTGTTTGTGACATTGTCTACAATGCATGATGCTGTGAGTATGACTGTGTCAGGTTGTAGTTTGATTTGTCTTTGGGACAGCTCTCCCCAGTTTTGGTACAAGCATCCAGATGATTGTATGGAGGAATCTGCATTGTCAAAAGGGTTGTGTTTAAAATTGTTATTTCCAGTGCCTAGGTCAATGTTGAGTGGTCCATTCAGTTTCATTCCTTCGTTAGACTTTGCAGTAAATTTGATACAACTGAAGGGTTTACTGGGTCATTTCAGGGGGGAATCAAGAGTCAACCACAATGCATGGTCTGGTGTCATATGTAGGCCAGACCAGATAAGGATGGCAGATTTCTTTCCCTCAAGGACATCAGAACACCAGTGAGTTTTTACGACAATCAACAGTAGTTACATAATTGTCATGATCTTCATTTTAAATTTAGATGCATACAGAATTCCAATTTCACAATCTGCCATGGTGGGATTTGAATTCATGTCCCCACAACTTTAGCCTGGGATTCTCAAATACTAGTCCAGGAACATCAAAGAAACATTTTATCTTGAAGACTTGTAAAGCTGAAGGAGATTACAGAGATAAAGATGGGCAATGCCTTGGATTTTCTTGAATATATGGAGGATATTTTAATATCATGTAAATTTTACGAGGGATATTTTAAATCAATTAGAGTTTTACTAACACATTGCAAATAATGGTAGCACTGAATATATTATTTTCTTCCAGTTCCAGCATCTCTGACTCTGGATCCAAAAACAGCACATCCCCAACTCATTCTGTCTGAGGACTGGACCAGTGTGAGGCTCGGAAATAAACAGCAGCCGCTCTGTAACACCCCACAGAGGTTTGATTCTTGGGCCTTTGTCCTGGGATTGGAGGGATTCACATCAGGGAAACATTACTGGGAGGTGCAGGTGGGCAACAAGACTGAATGGGGTCTGGGAGTGGCTCGAGAGTCTGCTCAGAGGAAAGGGGAAATCGACCCAAAACCTGAGACTGGATACTGGACAATGGGGCTAGGAAATGAAAATGACTATTTTGCAGGTACCTCTCCCACATGGACCACCCTTATGCCTAATGGGAAACCCCAGAAGATTGGGGTTTACCTGGACTATGAGGGTGGACAGGTGTCATTTTACAATGCAGACAATATGTCCCATCTCCACACATTCACCCATACTTTCACCGAGAGAATCTTTCCTATTTTTGATCCAGGATGGAATTTTAGCAAAAAAAATTCAGGAGCTTTAAAAATTATCCGGATTGCAGATCACTGCTAGTTAGTTTCTATTATTTTGCCTCTGGTGACAGAAGGGAATTATAGCTGTTTTGCTAAACCATTGCACTCTCTGTGGTTAGGTACACCCACAATGCTGCTTGTGAGGGTGTTCCAGGATTTTGACCCAGTGCAGAGTCTTCAAGGTGTGACCTCACCAGTGGCCTGCATAGTTATCATAAGAGATTGGTATACTAATATTCTAATCCCTTTGTAACAAAAGCTAATGCCAGATTAGGGAGTAAGTACCGAGGAGAACATAAAGAGGTTGGACGAATGAGTAATATGGCAATGGCATACAAGGTAACAAAGCATATAGCTCATCATTGCCACACAAAATGGATACCTATGAAATGATTGCATTTAGAGGAACTTGAGTGCCTGTATGAATCACAGAAAGTTAACCAAAAATTAGGAAAACAAATATGTTTTTTTTTATACATTCTGCAGCTCACCACCTTCTTCAAGCCGGATTAGGGATGGGCAATAAAATGCTGACTAGCAGCAATGCACATGAATGAATGCCTAAGTTACATAGATGGGAAATCTCACACCAAGGGGCCTTTATGTCAAAACATTAACATTTTTAATGCATTTTGATAATAAATATAAATTTTAAAACTAATACAGATAAAAATTTGTCTAGCACATTTGCCAGTTCTAGGAGAGTCCCAAATTTCCATTACACTATCCTTTTTAAACACTTTCAACAATATGGTGTAAAATTAGACCCCATATTCAACAGATATGGTTTCTATCTATCCTTTTTGTAGTCCTTCTTATTTTGTAGGTGGTCTTCTGGTGGACCTCTGACCAGAAGTTTCAGGTTCAATTGCAATTATTAAAAACCATGGACACTCTCCTCAAGATGTAGCAGTTTCCAGGGTGGGGTCTAACCATGCTTTTGTATAATAGCTGTATCAAGACTTGCCTCTTACATTCCCTCAAAATCCAAAAATAAAAACCAATAACCTATTAGCCTTTCTGGCTATTTTCCAGATGGCCTCATGGCATTTAAATGATCTGTGCATCTTGACCTCTAATCGTCTTTGAACCTCCACTGTTTCTAGCTGCTCCCCATTTACCAAGTACCCTGTTCTACCCCTTTCAGTTTCAAAATAGATGACCTCACATTTATGCACACTGAAATCTACTTGTCAGCTTTGCCATTCACTTGATCTATCAAAATTTCTTTGTAATTTGATATTTCTGTCGAAACTGTTTACAATGCCAGCTATCTTAGATTTGCAACCACCAAATTTGGAAATATGGCTTTCCATTGCAACTATGTCATTAATAAACTGGGCTATTAATTGAGGCCTCAACTCATAACCTAGGACAGTACTAGTTACATTCTGCCAATTAGAAACACCAGATCATTGTCCTTAATCTCAGTCCCCTGCTGTTAAACCAGTTTCCTAACCAGGTCAGTAATTGGCATGCTTTAACTTTTGCTAATTATCTATCTTTGACTTTATCAAATAACTCATCTTCTGGAAGCCCATAAAACGTTCAGAAACATTCTCTTGCCCTTCAGTTTACTCACCTCTTCAAATACCGGAATGCAAAATGACCTACCACATCAAATCCATGCTCAACCTCGGTGTGCAGCTGAAATCTTTTGAGGTGTTCAGTTTCCATACCCCTAACTCTAGTAGAGAATATATCCAGTTACTGCCATCAATCAGCTCATTGAAAGGGACTATATAATGAAGGGCTGATAAGCATCTTTCTTATTCATTAATGTCAGGGTCAACACAAACAATTAGTGAGTTGAAGTTACCTTGTTAATTGGACATTTATCTTGAAGACGTTAAATTTTGTCCACATTTTGTAAAGATTGAAATATGTACATCAGAGTAAAGTGCTCTGTGATTCAGGGATTGTGATGTTTAATCAGCTTTAATAATATTGGGTAATGCTAGTTTACATTTACTGCACTATTTTCTGTATGAATTGATGTTTAAACTTATGATGGTGTTAGATAAAGCATCTGTAATATATCAATAAATGAATCATCTTGGATTTCTGTGTCACGGACAATATATTTATAAAAGAGAAGTTAACTGATTAATCAGTTCACTCAACGATGGATCATTTGGTTTACGCAATTGGTAATGTACTTCAACTGGCTACCGTGGTATGTGCCACATACGAGCTTGTATTAACTTTTACACGCAGATGGTAAACTTTCAACCAGCACTTCGCATTGAGATGAAAATAAGGTTAAAAATGAAACTGCACCAATAAGTTCTTCAGCCACTGCATGGTTAGTAAGGAGTATGATTAGTATGGGACTGCAGCAGTGAGATAAAGGCCAAGTTAGTTACTGAGCCAAATTTCTAATAGTAGTCAAAGTGGAAATTCACTGCGAAGGGTGTTTAGTGTTTTAACTGGAGTGTTCTGCAAGAAGTAAACACTCCAGAGCAAGAAATAAGTGGGAAATGAAAAATGACATAGATTAAGAGGCAAACTTTCAGTAACACCAGTTGCAGATTGATAGCACAAACCACAGTTTGACACAACTGAAGGGAAAAAATGTTGTTTGGTGAGTAGGATTGGTTAATATTTCCAGGGTTTCAAATAAAAGTGAGGTCTTCAGTCTGCAGGGTTTTTCTTCTTTCTTTTCTTACAAATAGCCACTTAAATATTAGATTGATACCAGTCATCTTCTTTTATCCTTAGTTTACAAAAACAATATCAATACAGTGGACAATCTCAAGCAATTAATTTCCAAGATAAATCAAATACAATAGTGATGGCGAGGTCTGCTGCAACATGTAGAAGCAGCTAGATAGCGTTGTCATTCAAAGCAGACACATTTGTAGTAAGGATCCCTTTTAAATCTTTCCCCTCTCACCTTAAACCTATGCCATCTAGTTTTGTACTCCCCACCCCAGGAAAAGACCTGGCTATTCAACCTATCCATGCCCCTCATGATTTTATAAACCTCTATAAGATCACCCTTCAGCCTCCGGCTCTCTGGGGAAGTAGATGCAGCCTATTCAGCCTCTCCCTATTGCTCAAACCCTCCAACCCTGGCAACATCCTTGTAAATCTTTTCTAAACCCTTTCAAGTTTCACAACATCCTTCCTACAGCAGGTACTAAAGGTTGGTTTATGATCATGGACAGAAAGATGTGACTGCAACTGAGACAGGTACAATGACCCAGGGAGCCTTAGCTCTTACAAATGTCCACTGGTTACAAGGCTCTTGCAACCTCTGCAGAGAAAATTGGGGACTGTAGGGTTGAAGACCAAACTGACCGGAGCAACTTGATACAAAGAGCCATTCAAGTGCAGGAAAGAACTAGAAATGTAGTTGTGGCACAGAACAGTACAATTAGAGTGAGAGGTACTGTTCTCTACTGTTCATCATGTGGAGGTGATGGTGTTGAACTGGGGTGGACATGGCCAGAAATCACACGACACCAGGTTATAGTCCAACAGGTTTATTTGAAAACATAAGCTGAGGGTCCAAAAGCTTGTGTTTTCAAATAAACCTGTTGGTCTATAACCTGATGTCATATGATTTCTGAATCTACTGCTCATGGCAGCTATGAGTGGGAGTCCCAAAGGTTACATTGCCTGCCCAAGTGCATAACTTTTGGGTGGGGGTGGTGGGAAATCCAATAGTAATTGTCCACATTTGTACCACTGACATTGGGAAGACGAGAAAGGAGGCTCTGCTGAAAGACTTTGAATAATCAACTAAATTTAAAAGCAGAACCTTTAAAGTAATAATCTCTGGATCACTTGGTGGAATGGTTTTCCATTCCACTGGCACCAGCACTGGGGTAAGGGAGCTGTTCTGGTGAGTGTGCTTCATTTGAACTGTGCTGGAGACCAGCGTCCTGGCAAATCAAGTAACAGGGTTGCAGAGAAAGCTTTAAACTAATTGAGAGGGGTCGGGGTGTTGGAAGACAGGAAATGTAGGCTTACAAATCAAAACAATATAGTAGCATCAGAAGGTAGCTATTTGGACAACAATATCCAAAATGGGGCTGGAAGAGACAGTGTACAAAAATAGAAAAAAGCAAATATGGTTCAAAGGGAAAAGAAAGGTAAAAAGGCAAAGTTAATGGCTCTTTACTTCAATGCATTTAGTGTTTCGAACAAACTAGATAAATTAATGGCACGAATATAGGTTAATGGATATGATCTTATGGTTACAAGGAAATCAAAGCTGGGAACTAATTTTTAGGAGTATATAATATTTCAAAAGGACAGGAAGAAAGTAAAGAATGGTGGGGTAGCATTGATGATAGGGGATGAAATAAGTATAATAGCAAGAAAATGATCATGTATAGAAAATGTACCCATATGGGTAGAGGCAGAAAATAAAACGAAAGGTGACACTGGCAGGTGTAGTCTCTAGGCCCCTCCCAACAGTAGCTATATGGTAGATGAGAACAAATCAGGAGATAATGAACGCATATAACAAAGGCAGTACATTAATCATGGGTGACTTCAAATTTCATGCAGATTTGGATAGTCAGATTGACAGAGGAAGCCACGAGGAAGAATTTTGAGTGCATTTTCCTCAAATAATGTGTTATGGATCCAATCAGGGACTAGACTCTGGTGATGAGTAATGAGGCAGGTTTAACAAATTATGTAAGTGTAAGAGATCCCCTAGGAAACAGTGACCATAACATGGCAGAATTTAGCAGTTTGACAGGGAGGAACTTGGGTCAGAAACAACTACAAACTCAAATAAACGTAATTACAAAGGAAGGAGGGAAGACTGGCTGGAGCGGTCTGGGTCAGAAGTTTAGCAGCGACTACAGTCGCGGAATAATGGCAGACGTTTAAGATAATAGTTCACGGCTCACAACAAAGACATATTGCAGTGAAGGAGGATTCTAGGAAGGGGATAAGCCTACCATGGTTAACAAGGAAAGTTAGGCATCAAATTGAAATTAAAAAATCACAATGTAGCAAAGATCAGTGGTAGGCCAGACCATTTGTAAATTTGTAAAAGCCAACAAAAGATGATCCAAAAAAAGGAAGAAAATAAATTAAGGGTAAACGTGCAAGTAATATCAAAGTCAACAGTAAGACCTTAAATTATATAAAAAGGAAGGGAGGGGTCAAAGTTTGGCTGGGCAAATAATAATGGGGATCCAGAAAATGACAGTGGGGTTGAATAAATACATTGCACCAGTCTTCATAGTAGAAGACACTAATAACTATTCAAAGGGCAAAAGAATCAGAAAATAAATACAATAACTCACTAGTGAAAAAAAAAGTAAGGCTACAGATTGATAGGACTCTTGACCTGCCAATAAAAGGGAAAAAAAAAATAACTGTAGATGCTGGATATCCAAAACAGAAATTGCTGGAAAATCTCAGCAGATCTGACAGCATCAGGAGAGAGAAAGCAGAGTTAACGTTTTGGGCCCACTGATACGTAAAAGAAGTAGTGACAGAGACAGTGGATATTCTGTTAGTAATCACATTCTGGAAAGGTCATAGAGGGTTAGAAAACTGCAAAATAAAGACCTTTATTTAATAAAGGAAGGAGACAAAGAAAAGTAACTATAGGACAGTTAGCTTAATGTCCATTATTCAGAAAATGTTAGCGTCTATTACAAAGGATGCAAGCACAAAGCATTTAGAAATACATAATAGGATTAAATAGAGTCAACATAGCTTCACATAGGGGAAATCAAGTCTATAACTAGAATTCTTTAAGGGGGTAATGATTAAGATAGATAAAGGGAGTAGTGGGTGTAATATTTGGATTGGCTGGAGGTGTTTGATAAGGTACCACACTTTGGGCTACTTAGGACCCCATGGTATTATGGAGGTAGTATATTAACATGGATACAGAATTGGCTCCCTGAAAGAAGGCATACAGTTGGGATAAGGGGTGCATTTTCAGGATGACAACCTGTAACTAAAGACTTGCAATAGGGATCAGTGTAAATAATTATGGCCCCAGCAATGTACATTAATGACTTGGATAAGGAAAGCAAATGTACTATAGCCAAGTTTATAGATGACAAAAGAGTCTGAAGAGAAATACAAAAAATGTCAAACAAATGGGCAAAAACTTGGGAGATAGAAAATCGTGTGAAAACGTGAAGTTACACATTTTGGCAAGAATAGAGGAGCTGAATAATATTGCAAATAAACTGCAAAAATCTACAGAAGAGGGATTTGTACATTATCATCCACGAATCATAAAAAGCTAGCATCCAAGCTCTCGAGTAATAGGAAAGGAAAATGGAATGTCAGACTTCATTTCGAAGGGAAGAGTATGAAATTTAGGAGGTTTAGCTAATACTATACAAGACACTAGTGAAACCACAGCTGGAGCAGTTTTTGTCCCCTTCACTAAGGAACGATATACTGGCATTGGAAGCAGATCAGAGAAGGTTTGCCAAGCTGATCCCAAGTATGGAGGAACTGTTAGGAGGTGAAGTTGAGTATTTTGGGCCTGTACTCATTGAAATTTAGAAGAATGATTGGTGACCTTATTGAAACACACAAGATTCTTCAAGGATTCGACAGGGTAGATGTGAAAAAGGTTGTTTTTCCTTATGAGACAGTGTAGGACCAGAGGACATAATCTCAGAATAAGGAATCACATGTAGAAAAAAATTCGGCCTCATCTTTATCTTCAATCAAGGGTACTGAATATATGGAATTCTTTATAATAGAGGACTGTCAGGGATGGGTCATTATGTATATTCAAGGCTGAGATAAGACTAATTTTTAATCAGTAAAGGAATCAAGTGTGAAAAAGACAGGGGAGTGGAGTTAAGGATTGTCAAAACTGCATGATCTCATTCAATGCCAGTACTGATTTGATGGGCTGAATGGCCTACTTCTGCTCCTACATCTTATCTTATAAGCTTGCCTTTTTGCAGGTGTATTGTTCTAATCCTTTCTTAGTCTATCCCTTGCATCACGCACAGTTGCAGTTTGAGGCAGTGAGTTTTTACATACTAGTCATTTGACAGTTGCATCTTCAGCATTACATGGTTAATTTCTAACTTGTCCAAGCATATCGGACACATCTCTCCACTTGTGCAAAGGATGTTCACCTAATATCTACTTCTTGCAATTCTTTCTGGCAGATTTGTATCTAGTGAGGCCAGCTTTTCTGACCCCTCCATAGTTGTGCTTAAGGTTGTGGTGGAGAATAGTTTTCTTGAACTGCTTTGTGGTGTAGCTATGAACAATGCTATTGTGAGCTATCATCTCCACAACTAATTTGCATTTTCTCAATATGCTTCCTGAAAATACATGACCCATTTCAAGCCTATTCCTGCTTTGCTGACTGTGTTTTATACACCAAACCCTTACATTTTCCACACCCTGTGCTGATGAAAATGTAGGTGGCTGGGCCACTGGACTATAAACAGAACATCCAAGCCTGATAGTACAGCAGTAACTTAATACTGCATACCTTTTGATTCAAGGACCTTTTTAGACTTGGGAAGGCAAAAGGTATAACTGTCATAGCCTTGTGATGCTTCCCTGTCTTACTGCAGGTACAATTTCGTCAAACACCAAATCCTACCCATTTTCTCCAATGATTGGGGCGAATGTTCAATCTCTTACCCATAACTTTCATATAGAGCCTCCGCACAACTCTGGCTCCATGTTATCACTTTCTACAGCATCTGTGTAATGATTCTTTTATTGTTCTGCTCTGACATTCGTAATCCATTTGTTTATGTGAAGTTAGAAGAAATGTTTGTCATATTCAATCATTTTTCATCCACCTTCACTGAAGAAGAGTGATGAAATTGACAAATCACAGTAACAAAGAGACAGTAAAGCAATTGCATAGGAAGAAAATAGATAAAGAGGAGGCTTGTTAAAAGGTCAGAGCTAAGATGGTGTGGAATGCAATACCTAAAAGAGGGGGTAATCGTTATAAGCAGATTCAATTAAATATATTTTTACAAGGGATAAAGACTTAAAAAGGGGATATGACACGGGGGGGCTTGCACAGGCACATCGGATTTAATTGTGCAACATTCTATGTTATTATGGCTTGAACAGCATCATGCCAAGGTACGAGAATTCTGATCAGTCTTTTGGAATATACATGAAATAGCTGGCCAACTAAAGGATTCCATCACTAGATGGTGTTGCACCAAAAAGAATAATATTTCAATGTTGTAAGAAACCATGTGCAAAACTCTCACCTAGTTTACAACAGAATCGCAGTGTACAATAGCTGCTGACTTGGCTACAATGCTGACAAGAATATACTCAATTTGATGACAAGGGTAATTAACTACCTGACAAGACCCCTGTGATCTATAAAGTTCCAGATATTCACAAACAGCTGTGACTCAGAGAGCCAACTCCCTAGGTAGAGTGACAGGGTCAACCTGAATGAGCATGTTCTCCAATAGACAAGTAGGTCAAGCAAACTTGCCTTGGCAAGTGCTTTCAGATAAAATACATGGCTAGGACATATTTCCCGATCTAAACAAAAATTTGTCTCAAAGCACACTCAATCACTATTCAGTTGAAATCACAATGTTGCAAGTTTAACTCTTGTACTTTATTAACAAGATATATTCTGATCTATCTGGATTAACATTCATCCACGAAACACACAAATTTATGGAGATCATTGCACAAGAAATTTAGCAGTTCATTTAAGAGTTTATATTCTACATTATGGATACCACAGTCTAAAATCCATGGTTTCACAGAATTGGAAGCCAGGTTCTTGGCAATGTGCAAATTTCCCTCAGATAACAATTAAATTCTGGCAAACCTCAGCAATTACTTAGTGAGTTAATGCAGTCTGCAATGAATGACAGTTCCAGTTAGCAACTCAACCTCATTACAATTCTTCAGGTATCTAGTCTTCCCACAATCAAATCATGGCTGATGATGTATTTTCATTATATTCAAAATTATCTGGGTGCATAATAATGAACGTGTCTCATAAAGATGCAAAATCAGCTGTCTGGATCTCGTGAAACAATTTCAATAGCATTATAATCCAAAGTATAATACAATACTGAAATACCCACTGTACATTTATTAGTGAAAAACATGAAATTTTCCTGTGGTCAAGTGCTATTCTGACAATGAAACAGAATTTTTTTTTTTTTTCCCAATGTATCCTGATGTGTACACTCTCAGATGAACAGCTTACTCATTGCTTTGCCCATTTTTTCATTTTGTGCCTTGACCTGTTCATTAAGAACTCTAAGTTGCCTCGCAGCAGCAGTGTTTCCCGGTTCGAATTTCAGCACTTGCTTCAAATCACTTTTGGCTTTGTCAAACTCATTAATGGCAGCATAGGCCTGACCCCTTCGGTACAGGCATTTCACAGAGTCTGGCTCAATCTCCAGTGCCTTTGAGCAGTTGTGGATGACATTTCTGTACTGCTTCTGTTTTATCTGGCAGGCTGCCAGGTTCGAGTACAAGGCCTTTCTAGCCTGGTCGTACTCCTTTGTTTTCTCAGGAGGCACATCATATTTCAGAGTCACCAGCAGCTTCAGTGATTTTGCATAACGTTGTGCAGCTCCAAAGAGATTCCCACTTTTAAAATGCTCGGTGGCTTTGCCTTTGTGATGCATAGCCATGTGCCATTTTTCCTCAAATCCCATTTCCCAGGAGTCCCGCTGCAGACTGAACTCCTCTAGCTTCACAACCAATCTCAGTCCTTCTCTGCAGTCTGTGAATGTTTTCATCAAGTCTGGAGCAGGGATTACCTCACATTGCTCTCCCAAAAGCATCGTCTCAATACATTTCTCAATCAATTCCACAAATTGCGTATCGCTTTCGCCAAGAATCAGCTCAACGGACTCATTGATCCCATTTTGGAAATGGGTCCCTGCATCAAAATGGCCGGAGGGTGTCACTTCCACACAAACACGACACTTTGAACCTTCTTTGGGCTTGTCGAGGCCACTACCTCTCTGTAGAATTTTCTTCACAAAGGAACCATCTGGGCATGTCCAAGTGCAGAGCTCAGGATTAGTCTGTTCTTCAGTGGGAGCATTTTCTGGTCTATCACTGTGCGAAGTCGCCACCAAAGTCTCATTCAATTGATTTGCTGCCATTTTTCCACAATTTAAATTATTCCTCCCATCTTACCATTCTGTATTTTGTATGAATTTGACAGTACTGATGGCTCCCAAGTCCCACATAGAAATCAACGCACTCATGAATGACCTGTGGTTTGCTTCTGAAAAATAAAACATCAACAACTACAAGGTGAGTATTTAAAACAAGTTCACAACCTTTCTTGATGGTGTTGCCTCCTGTTGATGGCTTTTCCAAAAAAAGGTACCAGAAGTCATACACACTGCAACAGTTTAAGAAGGTAGCTCACCACCACCTCATGAAGGCCAATTACGGATGGGCAATAAATGCTGACCTTGCCAGTGGTGTTAACATCCTATAAATGAATAAGGAAAAAAAAATCCAAGTAACCACTCTTCATGCTCTAAGTGTAGTTTTAAGCATGAGCGCCAACATGGATTTTACCAGGGACATCAAAATGTCTGACATGTGGCACTAAAGTGCTGCAGTGTTCCAGCAAAACCCTATGCAAGCTGGAGGACCAGCATCTCATTTTCTGCTTAGAAATTTTACAGCCTTTAGGACTCAACATTGAGTTCAATAACTTCATGGTATGAAAGTGGCCAGTATCTATTTTGATAACACTCTCATCCCACATGTATTTTGACAGCATGGTCTTGTTCTGAGAAGTGGCCTTTTTTAAAATATTCACACCTATCAATGTCACCTATTTTGCATATATATCTCTCATTTACTATCATTAACAGTCCCTTTGCCTCTATGTCTGGGCACCTTCACTGTCTTTTCCATTCACTCCTCTTTCCCTTGTCAACAACATAACATTATTCTTCATTAATTCTAAAGAAGAAACATTGGAAACAAAATGCTAACTGTTTTTCTCTCCTCAGATGCCGCCAGACCTGAGTTTCCCCTGAATCTTCTGTCTTATTTGAATCTCCAACATCTGCAATATTTTGTCTGTCTGTGTTTGTCACACATACTTTTCAACAGTGTCTCTGGCTAACAATCAAGAGTTGGAACCCTGGTTGACCTTACATTTCTTCAAGGAAAATAGCCATTGCAGCAGCAGCAAATTTATCGCAACAAAAGTAAACTATACAACACAGCACCACACCATGAACTGCATGAATAGTCAGAATGTTAAATGAAGAGTCACAGACTTGAAATGTAAACTCCATTTCATTACCCACAGATGCTGGCTGACTTGTGAATATTTCTAGCATTTTCTGCTTTTATGTCTAGCATTCTTGGTATTTCACTTTTGTAACTGGGGTACACGATTGATTCCATATCAGAGGATAATAGGCAGTCGTGATCCCCAGCATTCATTAGGGAGAGGAAATAACTGCTTTCTTTTACTGTCAGCACCATTTCAGCAGAAAGAAAAGGAACAACCAATACAGACTTAAGAGCAATTCTAAAAAGAGATGGGGCTGTTGAGGGTGGGAAATGAGCAAGTGTATTTCAATGTGGCAGGACAAAATGAGAGTATTGGCACAAAATATCTGTATTTTTGAGCTTCATAAATTGAGGTACGAGTACAGCAGGAAGGTTGTTATGCTAACTTTTAAAAAGCTCTGGTTAGACCACAACTAGAATATTGCATCCATCTGCTTACTTAACTTTGCTAAAAGTGACAGGGTTCTTGTAAGCGTGCAGGAAAGATTCCGAGAATCAATCCAAAAATGAAGCATTTTAGCTACAAGATCGGGTGATCAGATGTTTAATGTGAATCGGATCGTGGGAGCAGGTGGTGAGTCAAGGGACAAGATGAGTTTGAGAAAGGGAGATAGGAAAGAAACTTGAGAAAGATGCTGGATCAGGACAAGTACTGGGAAGCAGTATTAAAACAATTTGGCCAGGCAAGCCAGTGGGAGATAAAGATGCAGACAAAGGCAGCTGAGCAGATGGTATGTATGGCATCGAATCTTACAGATAAAGAAGTCCACAAGCCCCTTACTAAGCAGTTACAGCTTAATGTTGTTCAAGACCTGAAACTTGATACTTATGAAGGTGATAGGGTAGGGGGAGGTGATTAATACTTTCAAATGAGATTGGAAAAGCATTTAGGAGAAATAAATATGTAGGGTTATATGAATAGAACAGAGAAATATGACTGACTACAGACAGTTAGCATGGTCTCCACAGGCCAAATGATTTTTTGGGGGCTATTATGTTCTGTATCTGACTCCTGTTGTGATCCTGCTGTCAGAAAAAATGTTCACAGTTTTATACACGAAGTCCAGCTCACTAGTGAGAATGGTCAGTAATGTAATAAATGTTTATGAGAAGCTATTTCAATATCTACGAGTGATTGAGGCTGGAACTGCTGACATGGCAGAATGCCCATTGAACAGAATTGTATTCAGCACATGATGCCATGAAATAAATTCAATGACATGCTTCAATTTGAGTGTAATCCTATCAAACATCACATTGGCTCTGGCAAGAAAATTTCTAATGCTGTGAAAATGACACTGTCAGAACACCCTGTACAGGTATGAGGAGGAAGTTCACTTTGCATTATGCAGGTAAAGCTGAGCTTTTCAGCAAATGTTACTTCAAGCACAAGCTACAGTTAAGAGAAACAGCTGTATACAGAATTGAAACTTTGAAAATTTGCAGCACAGGTGGTGATAATTTGGTTGTTTGTGCCAGCCAACAGAAAGCTATCCAACCCATTTAACTTTCTAGCTCTTTTCCCTAACCCGCCTTCACAATTCCGGGCAGTGCATTCCATACCCTATTTACTCACCATGTGTGAAAGCTGTTTTCTTAAACCTCATATCACATTTGCTCCTTTTGCAAATCACTTTAATTCAGTGTCCTCTCATTTTTGTTCCTTTTTTGAGCGGGAACAGTTTCTTCTGTCCATTCTATCCAGGCTACTCAATTTTGAAAACCTCTACCAAAATCTTCTCTCAGCCTTGTTCGCTCCAAAAATAAGTCACGATGTTTTCAATCTATCCGCATAGCTAAAGTTCTTCATTCCTGGAACCATTCCTGTAAATTGCTTCTGCACTCTTAGCAATGCCATAAGACCATAAGACATAGGAGAGCAGAAATTTGGCCATTCAGCCCATCCAGTCTGCTCTGTCATTCAATCATGGCTGACAAGTTTCTCAAACCCTATTCTCCCGCTTTCTCCCCATAACCTTTGATCCCCTTGACAATTAAGAACCTGTCTTAAATGCATTCCTATCCTTTCTACAATACAATGTCCATAACTGTTTGCAATACTTTAGCCGAGGTCGAACAAGTATCTTGTACAAGTTCAACATCACTTCATTGCTCTCATACTCTACACCCCTACAACTAAAGCCAAGGAGACTGTGTACTTTATGAACTGTTCTCTCCACTTGTCCTGCCACCTTTTGACCTGCACACCCATATGCCTCAGCTCCTGCATCTCTTTAGATTGATAACTACGATCTAATGTGCCTTTCAAAGATTTTCCTGACAAAATGTATCACACTTTTCTGCACTGACTCTCATCAACCATATCTTCGCACACTCCACCAACATGTCTATGTGCTGTTAGTGTTCTACACTATCCTCTTCGCAGTTTACAATTCTTCAAATTTTGTGCCACTGCAAACTTTGACTTTGTCCCCTGTACACCAAAGCCTACTCTGCCATTCAAACTAGTTATGTTTCAGAAGTTCCAATTCACAAACCAGCTAAATATTCACGTTTGCAACAAAGTGGAATAAAACTATTGATACTTACATAAGCGATAATGAGGGATTGGATTTGTTACCCCTCACGTGATCCACAAATTCACATCCAGTGAAATGTACTCGTTCCAAGCAAGTATTTAGCTGCCATCATAGCCACCAATGTAACAGATCAGGAGAATGCAGAACCTCTTAGAAACACGTGTTCACATTCCTCTAAACAAACAATTAACATTTAGAAGCAGCTCACAGATCATTAAGCATAGTTTTAAATCTTGCTTTTAACAAAACTAAAATAAATAAAACAAAACTAAAACAGTTACCCTAACAGATTATGCTTTTCGTGTTGGGTCACACCCACCCCTTAAAGATATTTCTCAACCCCCGATATATTAGTCATCCATAACATAACTGCCTATTTTGTATAACCAATCCACCTAATAAGCCCACTTCTTTCCCTACTGGAAATAAACCCATCCCTCGCCCTTCAGGAAACAAAACCCATCTCTGTTTCCTTAGCAAATGCCCATCTCTATCTTGAGTAATAAACTCTCTGTTCAGTTATACTACCTTCCTCCCAGTAAATATCCTACCTCAGTAATAACTCCACGTCTCCCCTCAGTAAAAAAAAATCACAGCATCCCTACCGTGTGCAAAGAAGTCATTCGGCCCATCGAGTCTGAACCAGCACCCCCAAGACCATCTCCACCCAATACCCATAACCCTGCATTTCCCATGGCTAATCCACCTTACCTGCACATCCCTGGACAATACGGGGCAATTTTTAGCATGGCCCATCCACCTCACCTGGACATCTTTGGACTGTGGGAGAAAATTCACACAGACGAGGGGAGGACGTGTAAATCTCCACACAAGAGAGTCGCCCAAGGCTTGCAATCGAAACCGGGTCCCTGACGCTGCGAGGCAGCCGTGGAATCCACTGAGCCACAGTGCCACCCTTAAAATACCTACGCTGTCAGCAAAGAGATCCTACTCCCAGCTCCCTGCCCTCAGTATCCAGGCTTTGGGAAGCGTCCATGTGCGGTTTTCTTCCCACGCCATACCCAGGTCGCCGGGATTTGCCAGCGGATCATGGTCCTCCCGCAAGCCCCGGCGCGCGTGGAGCCGGACAAATGACGGTTCGAGATTCAAAGACACCCCTCTGTCACGAACTCCCCTTCTCCGGTCACCGACCATCAACGGACACCGACATCCGGGGGCTCGTCGACGTCACTTCCTTAACGACGGGCCATCGGTTGCCACGACTACAGCGGCCTACCTAATTCCTCCCCCTCCCGGCGTACACATTTCATTGTCACCATGACTGACTTGCCAGTCAGGATTACAGCCGAGCGGCGAATGGACTCCAGCTCGGGTCTGAAGCAAAGGGAAGGGGCACCAGTCAAGTTGAAGTGTTGGTCCTGGTGCCAGCTGTGCCCCCGCGTGCCTGCCGCTCGCGGATGGCCTCAGGCGGGCGGCGGGCACAGCCAGGAAAGGGAGGGTAGCAGCCACGCCGAGCGACCCCCTCCGCCTCGCCCCGCTTGGACCTCTTAGCGGCCGCGTTGGTCAGAGCCAGGCCCATGGACGTGTGGTTATCCGGCCTGCCCACTCCCTCCGCATCAGGGCCACGTGGGCACAAACCGGGAGTGCGGGGGCCTGAAGTTCACCGGGAACTCAGTAGCTGCCCCTTCCAATGGCACACCAAAGGAGAGAGAAACGCTGAGAAGGAAGGAGCTCAAGATGTGACGAATCGACTTTCCACACAGCAGCGCTGAAAAATCTGAAGGCAACTGTTCACTTCCCGCATTGTCAAACAGGGAGCTTTTGATGTTGCAAAGACACTCGCTCTTATGTTTCACCACCGCAAGATAAATATCACGTTTCAACTTTATGACTTTACCACGGTCCTGATTTTTGTTTGCATATTTCTTCAGACAGTAAGAACATGGCAGAGAATACTTAAAAGTGGAAAAGGATACTGTATATTTAGTAACTTTGGGCCGTTGCTGCAGAAGCTGGAAATCTGAAATAAAGGCAGCAAATGAGACAATCACTCAGCAGATCTGGCAGTATCAATACAGAGATAAACAGACTTAATTTTTCAGGCTTTTTATGCCAGAAGATCTTTCTAGGTTTTACTGAAGACTTCATCCAGTTATTTGTACGTAAATCAAATGATGCAAGACTCACTGCCTGTAAGGTGTTAGAGGCAGAAACCCTCATTTCATTTAAAAGGTATATAATAGTACACTTGCAACATCAAGGTATACAAGGCTATGGGCCAAGTGCTGGAAAATGAGATTAGGATACTTAGGCAGTTGTTTTTGACCGGTGCAGACTTGATGGGCCAAAGGGTCTTTTTCCATGCTGTAGACATCTATGACTCTATAACTACAGTCTCATGTCTGCCAGAGATTGTACATTCAATTGTCTAAAATTACTTTACATCCAATAAAGTATTCATGAAGTGTAAACTTTTGTGCAATATAGAGAAATGCAATATTTAATTTGTCCAAAAACAGAAATGAGATAATGATCGATTTTATTTTTTCTTTTTTAAAATTTTTATACTTTCTTGGGATGTGGAGTTCGCTGGCTGAGCCAACATTTATTGCCAATTCTTAGCTGGTCTTGAGAAACTGCTTTTTAGAACTGCCGCAGTCCATTTGGTGTTGGTGCATGCAGAAATGATGGTGATTGAGAAATAAGTGTTAGCCAGCAAGCCATGGAAAATTTTTCTGCTTTTCTTCTCGAAACTGAGATTTTTTTGAATCAAACTCTGAAGGCAAATATTGTCTCCGTTTATAAATTCCCTTTTAAAGACACCGCCTCCAAAAAATGCAGTGCTGCCTCAGCTGTGTGAGTGTTAGGTGTTATGTGACACTTACGATGCTCAAGGTGTTCAGTTTATTTGCAGGAACTCTGTCTGCTGGCTTGCTTGACCTGCTCCATTCCAATCTGCTATATGTGCTTCTATTCAGCAATAAAAGAGCTGCTGTTACTTTCATTCAAAATGATCAAGATAATCCTTTCATGGCATATTGGTGTCATTGGCTAGATGAGCATTTATTATCCTTCCCTACTTGCCCTTGAGAAGGTGGTAGTGAGCAGCCTTCTTGAACCACTGTAGTCCATGGCCTGTCTGTTTACCGATAGTGCTGGTAGGAATGGAGATCCAGGATTTAGATCCAGTCAGAAGGAGTGAAGATGTTGTTACAGTCACTACATGATGTCAATTTCAAAATGTAATTGCTAAAGGGCCACTAGGGACATGATGCACCTCCCAGGAACAGGAAGAAAAGGATATCTAGTTTGAGGGAATTAATGCATTGGTAGCTGATTAGAAGTAAACCTTCTAATTGAATAACTTGTTTTCTTGACGGACAGCTTTTGACATTATGGTGGGTCAACACATGCATTTCAGCTGTATCAAAATAACAATTGAATTCTGATCCCTTTAATTAATCTAGCCTGCTCAGTCCATGTCAATAGAGAAGAGCTTTACAATCCCTAACCAAAAGTGCATTCAGCAAGCAGTAATTAAATGTAGCTTTTCTCTTCACAATCTTCTTCTCCAAACCCTAACTTACATTTCCTATTGATATTCCAGTAAGTTGTCCACCTCAGCCTTAGTCAGTCACCAACTGTTTCCTCATTCAGAGATTAGGAGAGTGAAGGGGACTCCAAATTCACAGAATGGTGTCTCTTGTTTGGCTATGATCTGAGTGCTCTTGTGATATCTAGGAAGAGAAATGTGCCTGTCTGAATCCTAAATGATCGATTATGTGTTCCCAGATACAGTAGGACAATATGGAAATGTACGATAGATACACAAGGTTCAGACTCACTTGCCTATGGCCTGAACCCTAGATTCACAGGAGATGATCCCTTCACATTTCCCTCGAACTCATCAATACAGGATGCAATGTAACAGACCATGCACTGCAACAGCACAAAGGAGAGGCAGTGCCCAGCAGTTATGTCTTGGGCTAGCAAGCCAGATGCCCAGGCTAATGCTCTGGTGATATGAGTTTAAACCCATCATGGCAGTTGGTGAAAATTAAATTCACTAAAAATCTGGAATTACTAAGCTGATCAAATGGTGACTATATAACCACTTGACGATTGTTAAAAAAAACTAATGTCCCTCAGGGAAGGAAATCTGCAGTCCTTACCCGGTCTGTCCTACACATGACACTAGATTATTATTAACTACGCTCTGGCTCAATCTTGATAAACAGTAAAGGATTGTTACCTCGTGCTTAATAACTACCAAATCACATAGTCTCACAAAAAAATGTACGATCATAACGTAACAGTAAGTACACAATACTAATAGTTACATAGACTTAGCACTTATGAATGTCTCTGCAAAACTGCTTAAAGACTGGAAACAACTGGCTAACTCCTCCCAGAAATAATCCTGTATATCCTGTTGGGCAGAGCTTATCTCATCTTGTTAGTTAATCCTTTAAGGTACTCACTGCCCTTTAAAATTTCCAACTGCATCAAACCAATCTGGGTCAAAGTTTGTCATGTCATATATGGACTTGATGTTGTGGTCTGAAATCTTTGGTGTTGGAACTGGGCACCGATACCTCATGGACCATTATGATATGTAGATCTGTGCATGCTGATAGACCAGTGATAGAAAGTCCTGCTGTATCAACAACATAAAAGTTTTCAGGTGTCTGCACTGAGGTGAGATTTAAAATGGAAAATGCCAATACATATATGTCAGATCCATTATAAACAATTAATTTATCATATATGGACTGCACCACACTGTGCCAGTGTTGTGACTACATTTCACCTAAGCTGCATTAAGGATAGATATTTGCACTTCCACAAGTCTTTGAAATGTAGCACACGTTGTTCATTCCTTTCGGTGTATGTATGCAAGTAAAGTTTTCAGATTTTCTAACAGCATCTATATGTCAAACCGAATGTATGTAATGCATACCTGGAGTTTGCAAGCTGTTACTTCCTGGATTTTGTTAGCATGCTTGCGTAGCATGGATAGATATTTGAAAACGTCTTTGACATTGTTCCTTGGTTGGCTGTGCTGTGGGGCATAATGTTGCACTTTTTTTCCCCATAAACTTGGACTTCTTGCATGCTGCAACCTAATGTACTCTTTTAGAACATAGTATATATCACGAAATGCTCGATACTGTTTTGATGGATGAGACAATCCACGGTTTGGACATTTTGCTGCTCATGTTGACAGCTGCAGTAGTAGTTGCAGAGTCAAGTACCTGTAGGTGTTGTTGGCATGCTATAATTGCTTCATATTTGCCATTCTTCCAGCAGTGTATCAATGGTATAATCTTTAGTTTTGTCCAAAGTGTGTTTTGGAAAGATTTGATGAGTGTTGAGACAATAACCATTTCCATTAGCATTTCAGCAAAATCACTTCAGTGAAATCACATTCTCTACCTTTGCATTGACATCTGGCTATGAATTGGTCCATATTTTCACCTGGCTGTTAGTGGTATGACATAAACTCAAGGCTATGAATCCTGAATTTGACTCTGATCTTAAGATGATCTCTGGGGCTTGAAAATATTTCTCTAGATTTTTGTGATCATCACTTAAAATATAGAACATTTAATTATTTTAAATTCTTTGTTCTTCGAAATGGTGAGATATATGACAGCCTGTTTCTCATCGTCTGTAATCTGCTGATCCACAAAGTGAAGATTCATTCTTGACGAAACTGGAATTCAGACAGAATGCTGCTGGAATGCCATGGTCAGATGTATGCTTTGCATCATTGCAGTGTTTTTTTGTGTTCTTTTAAGTCGCAAATAAACATCTGTGTTGCAGTGCAAATGTTCTTTTATCTTTACATTTGTTGGCTTCTCTCTCTTTTTGTTTGTCTTCCTATTGCTTTAGAGATTTCTGCTTTAACAATTGCAGACTTATGCCAATAGGTGGCATTCACACCCAAAGAAAGACAGGTAGCTGCATTTGAGAAGATTAAATGGTGGAACCATAAGACTACACAGGGTAGGAACGGAAGTAAGTCACGTAGACCAGTGAGTCTGTTCTGTCATTGAATGAGATTATGGCTGATCTGACAATCCTCAACTCCACATTCCTGCCTTTTCCCCATAATGCTTGTTTTCTTACTGATTAAAATTCTGTCTATCTCAGTCTTGAATGTATTTAACAACCAACCTCAGCAGTCCTCTGCAGAAAAAAAATCCATAGATTCACTACCTGCTGAGAGAGGGAATTCCTCCACACGTCTGTCCTAGCTGGTTAAATCCTTACTCTGAGGTTATGCCTTCTGCTCCTACAGTCTTCCACGAGTGGAAACAGCCTTTCCAGATCTACTCTGTCAAACCCCTGAGGAATCTTGTATGTTTCATGATCACTGTTCATTTGTCTAAACTCCATTGAGTACACTTCCAACCTACTCAACCAGTACCCGCTATAGTTTTAGCAAGACTTCCCAATTTTGATACCCCATTCTTTTTGAAATAATGGCTAGCATTCCATTTATTTTTCCTATGATCTGCTGAACTTGTGTACCAGCTTTTTGTGATTTATTCATGAAGACTCCCACATCGATCGGTGCTGCAGCTTTCTGCAATCTATCTCTGTTTAATAGAGGAGCTGCTCTATTCTTCTTGCCAAAGTGCACAACCTCTCATTTTCCCACATTATATTCCACCTACTAAGTTTTTTTTTCCACTCACTTAACCTGTCCGAATCCACGAGGAGCTCGAACAGTTCATCCACTTCACTAACACCTTCCACCCTAACCTTATGTTTACCTGGACCATCTCTAACACCTCTCTCCCCTTCCTGGACCTCTCTGTCTCCATATCGGGCAACCACCTAGAATCCGATATTCATTTCAAGCCCACCGAATCCCACAGCTACCTAGAATACTCCTCCTCCCACCCACCTTCCTGCAAAAATGCTATCCCTTATTCCCAATTCCTTCGCCTCCGCCACATCTGCTCCCAGGATGAGGCATTCCACTCCCGTACATCTCAGTTGTCCTCGTTTTTCAAGGACCGTAACCTCCCCACCTCGGTGGTCGAGAACGCCCTCAACCGTGTCTCCCGCACCTCATCCCTCACACCCTGTCCACGCAATAAGAACCAAAAAAGAATCCCCCTCGTCCTCACGTACCACCCCACCAACCTCCGGATCCAACGCATCATCCTCCGACACTTCCGCCATCTGCAATCCGACCCCACCACCAAAGACATCTTTCCCTCCCCACCCTTATCTGCTTTCCGGAGGGACCACTCTCTCCGTGACTCCCTTGTCCGCTCCACACTCCCCTCCAGCTCCACCACACCCGGCACTTTTCCCTGCAACCGCAGGAAGTGCTACACCTGCCCCCATACCTCCTCCCTCACCCCCATCCCAGGCCCCAAGAAGACTTTCCACATCAAGCAAATGTTCACCTGCACATCTGCCAATGTAGTATACTGCATCCGCTGTA